TTATTCTGATAAATTTCAAAGGAAACTATTTTTGTCTCGCTACAAAGGAACTCAAATATTGGCATGATTAGTTAAATGCGTACGAAAGAGATACGAGAATAGAATGCATCAGCGATGAGTTGAACATACTTATAACTAATTTTGGCATCTTTTTCATATTCTATTTGTTCCGGTTGTGGCGGTTCACTCGCTTCTAAGCAAGAAGAAGAAGAACATCTATCATATAAGTGTGAGAACATAAGCCTATACTGTTTTACCTTCTTCATTATTTTCTTCCGTTGTTTGTTCGTTTGGCTTTGCTATCATTGTTGGCGGTGCAAATGTAAATGGTAATGGTGATAGATTAATTAAACGTGGTCAAGTGCAACTTCATGTGAAAGAAATTGTTGAGGAAACTAGTACTAAACGACAAATGATTATTCGATCCGATGATTCATTAGGTACGTATTTGTACAAAATACTTCAACTACAACAGTTAACATTAGAAATTGAGTGTAAAATTTCTCTATTTAGGTCGATTATTTTTGAATATTCAATGGACGAAAAAAGTTGAAGTAAAAAAAAATTCGACAAAAGATATAACATTTTTTTGTATGCTTAATCCAGAAATGCCAGAAATTCCAGCTAATGAAGTGGTAATTATTATTCTAAGATTTGACAATGAAACAGAACGTAATGAAGCTTATGATAAGCTTCAATCTGAAAGAACCTAGCGTTAGCTAAATGTTTTTTTGCTTTTTTTTGTGAAACAGATACAATCGATATGCTGCACATATTGTTTTTCCCTTTTTTCATCCATAAATCTAGAATTAGCTTATCATTTGTTATATATATGTATACCTACACAGTACCATACCATTCAAGGACATACTACTTTGTTTTATTGTTTCTTCGATATGATAGAAAAATTTTGATGGAAAGATGCTAGTAGTAACATTTTGTGCTCTGATATGTGTCACTTTTTTTCTTCTTCAAAACATTGATTATATAGTTGTTGTTTTTTTATCTTCTACTAGGATAATTTTTCTTGTTTTTTTCAATTTCTTATGTCTGATTTTTTTTGTCTGTGAAAGTTAAATTTTTTTTTCTGTTCTTTTTGTATTTTCTATGCATTTTCTCTGAGTTTTTTTCTTTTGTAGTCTAGATATATTTTTCCTTGTGTCTCTCCATGAATAATATTTGTTGGAAAAGAAGCAGAAAGATACATTGTGAAACAAAGATTAGAATAACTGAAAAAACAAAACTGAATTTTTAATTTCAATGCAAAGTTTTCATGATATCGACTAAGTATTGCGTTTAGAAAATCTAGTCGGCAAACCTTTCGAGATGTAACCTTCCGATTCCAGTGATTTATACATGGATCGATAGACCTCAGTGAGGTAGTAAATACCTAAAAGGATTCGTGTCATGACTCTTGAAGACCCGGCTTTCTGGAAAACCAGTTTTTCAAGAACTCTAAAAAATAACCAAAATCTTTTTTTAATGAGGCATGATTGTAGCCCGCAAATTTCTGATTAAAATGAGATATCTCCCAGCTACACGACCTTTTTTTGCAACGTTATAGAATTTACAAGAAAAGCTCTA